AAATCTTTTATTTGGTATTTAGAGAACAAGAAAAGACTGAGAAACTGTGTTCATCATCGTGTTTTGTTTTGTTTTTTTTTTTCCTGTGATGGCTGTTGTCTGTAAATCCTGTTAGAAATCTGCACTCTGTCTGGCTTCCTGTAAAGTCTGGTTTCTCAGAAATGTGTATTTTTTTGGGCAACAGCTCAACCCTGCTAAGGGCTGCTTAGTGCTTGTTCATTATCTGTTCACTTGGTAAAATGTGGTAGTGCTTTGGTTTATAAATCCTTGATGCTTCCATCTTCCTGTCAGCAAAGCATAGTGGTGTAGCTTGGCTGACATGGGTTGGCCCCATTGCTTGAAGAGATGTGACTCAGCTTTGGGTGAGGAAGTTGGTGTGCTGACAGTGTACCTCTGGCAGACCATGCTGCCATAACTAAGCACTGACTAATACACGGTATGATGGAGCCAGTTGTGCTCAGCTGAAATGATATCCCATGGAGCTGGGACCTAGGGAAAGGACTCTCTCTGTAGCATGGATCTATCCTGCTTATAAAATGCTCTTGCTCATGTGCCTCATGGTTTCCTGCACAGGATGTTGGTTTCTTGGCTATTTTGAATATTGACCATCTTTAAGAATGGACTGTTTGACACCTTTAAAGTTCATATAGCTCACTGGACTCATGTCTTAGTGAATTTTGTAGGGCTGGTGAAACTGCTTGGACAGTTAGAGTTTTCTTGTAGGGATAAGGCTGTCACAGGATGTCTCTCATTATCTTTTTTTGTTCCATGATTTCTAGAGAATTTGCCTTGTAGTCTCTGTTGTTAACATCTTTAGGATTAAGTTATTAAGTCTGGCACATTTTGGAGCTGATTTTGAAAGCCCTAGACAGGCACAGGAGTCAGGGCCAGCTGGAACAGAGCACATAGGAGGGGCCCTACCAAATTGTCAGTGCCTTGGAAGACAAAAGCTCTCTAGTGCCAGATCTCTCAAATTTATTATGTTTAATGTAGCTGTGGCCTCAGCTGGAAAAATCTGTTGCCTTCATGACATCTGTGTGAAAAGAAACACACAGCATGCATCTCTTTTCTTGCACCATGCCTTTGCATCTATAATAAGGTAGATTGTATTCAAGCAAGAAGATTAGTTTCTGGTCATAACTCCTGTCTGTTTGTATCTTTATGCCTCTTAAAAACTGTTACTTCCAACACTCCCTGCTACCATTGTAGAGGGTCTGATTCTTATTTACCTGCTTTACCATAAATAACTAAAAGCTTGTCAAGTTCATTCCAGGGAAGAGACCAGTAAGATAAAACAAGATTCCATAGCTCCTTTGCTGTGGCATGACTGGAATACCATGTGTGTGTGTAATTTCCCATCACATGGTATGTGTGTGAGCAGTTCATGGAGGTGGCTGCTTGCATGACCTGATGTGGTAAGGAATGCTGGCCTCTTGGTCATATAGTAAGCTTTCTAAATCATGATGGGGAGAATTGGAGACAGGTAGTCCTGCAATACCTCCTCCAGAGCCTGTGCAGAGTTCCAAGTAGAAGTTCTTGGTAATCATTGAGTGAGCCAATCAAGTCTGTGAGCTCAGTGATTTCATGTCTTCAAGGTTAGAGATTAGAGAGTTAGTCCTCATGGATGACTTAAGCATGGGACTTGTTTTATTTGGCCAGTCCCTATGTCTTTTGAACAATACAAACATGCCTGTATATACATTATTTTAAAATATTATTATGAGGACTCTTGGTGTTGACCCTTGTATTTAGATGGCCTAGCATTTCTCATACAAAAATGGTGACCTTTCACTAAGGAGCTCTTATAACTTCGATTGTTTGCAATAGACTGTTGACATTTGTTAGGCGAAGCACCATCGGGGAACAAAGTGCCTTTTTATATTCCACTAAATTAGATTCAGCTTTGAAGGAGTTATAAACTGTTAAAATGAACTAGTTCTTTTTTTCCTGCTTTCATTCTTCAGGAAAATTCTGGCATGCTACCAAAAAAACAGTGCCTTCTAGTGCTGGGACCTGCTGTAACCATTGCAGCAGTGGGGACAAGAGGTCTCGTGTTAGGAGCTGTGGCAATGGCTGCAGCAGGCCCTTGAAGAGCCCAGCACATGTCCTTCTGCCTCCCAGCTCTGCTTTCCTTCTGGGAATTTCAGGGAGCAGGAAACCCCTCCCCAGCAAGCCTCCATTCAGCAGTCAGCCCCCATTGTCTCTGCTCTCCTGTCCCAGAGAGGTCCTTCCCCTTGCCTCTTCAAACACCCACAAGTCCCAGGTGGAAAAGAGATTGGGGCAGTTTGCATGGGTGGATGTAGCCCATTGCAGTAGATGTCAAGCCTGTGTTTGCTGTGACTGCAGGCTCTTAATTCTGTCATGTAGGAAACGCTGTACCTCCACCATCTTCTAGGCAGGGAGGGCCATGCCCCCTCTTGTGCAGCTCGCTCAGACCTCTCGCGTTCAGTGTCACCGCCGGCGTTCTGCCAGCACGAGGAGTCAAAGGCCCAGCACAGGGTTCCTGTTGGGTGGGAGCCCTGCACAGGGAGCTCAGACCAGCAGGGCTGGCAGGCACCGCTGGCAGCAATGCCCCAGGATCCAGCCCAGCCGGCTGTGCAGAGAGGGGAGGATGGCACGGCCTAATTGTGCACCAGGAGCTGCCCAGTTTGTTCTCTTTCAAGATGATTCTAATGAGGTAGAAAATGGTGATTTTTGATGGCTTTTAAGATTTTGAAAATAATTTTGGCATTTGCATTTATTGAGAGCCTGGCTGTTTCAGTGTGTGTGGCAAGACTAGGCAGCTGAGCTGATCTGGCAGGGGACAGATCCTGCTCTTGGGCAGGGTGTGCTGCTTTCTGCTCCCTTTTGCTTCTTTGAGCTGTAATGCTCACTGACCCTTCAAGCCACTTCAGCTCAGTAAATTGTCAAAATCTTTGTATGTGTTCCTTTTCTTGGGCTAGGTTTTCGCAACATTGCTGAGCTGTATCAGCTTATCTGCAGGTGAGAATGAAAACTGAGGCCAGCTCTGGAAGGTTGGTGAGACCAGACAAGGAAGGACAAAGGAGCAGGGACAGCCCTTCAGCAGCCACAAGTTGCTGAATTGGTTCAGCCCCAGTCATGTAACGATGCTGAGAGAGTCTACCAAGAAAGCAATCATGACAATCATGACTGATTCCTTTCATGGCAGTAGCAAAGCTGTATGCAACAAAGACAACAAAAAGCAATCAACAGTTAATCTCCTTTATTGACAAGCCCACACCAAGTGTGGGATAGAAATAGAAAACGTATTTTAGCTGTGATTGGCAGAGAAGCAGTCAAAAAAGGAACCAGCATGGATCAAGCCTAAGTTGTTGGGATGTTGAGGTTTCAAGGAAGATGCATGTTTACATTAGCATTATTCAAACTTGTGTAACGTAGGATGTTGTGAATTCAATTGTTCTTGGGATGAATAGAGGATCAAGTATTGTCCTTAAACAATAGAACAGTAAAAACAACATCTGTGAACCAAGATCTCCTTTTTAAAAATGGAGAAGACAAGCAGACAGAAACTATAGCTAAAACTGTTGGAAGGGTTTTGTTTGCTTGCAGACAGTTGCGGAATACTTGTTCAAGGGACTCAGCAACTTTTTGTTGCTTAACATATTCAGAGCTTCTTCTTAGCCACCATGGCTCTCTGCTGTAAATGTTCCAGGTTTTCAACTCTCGCTGCAAGCCTTTTGAGAGGGTCACCAACAGAATTAGTATTATACTCATTTGACTCTGAATGCAACTGTTAAATTAAAAAAAAAATGCTATTTTAAGAATGCTGGGCAAAGGGGAGAGTGTCTCAGTGCCTAGACCCTGTGTTCACCATCTTTTTTAACTGTAAAACCATTCTTTATTTTCTTGTTGATCCTTCCTTCATTTGCTATCAAACTTCAATCAAAACCATGTTGATGGAAGCTTTCCTAAATAATGGAATAGGAAAAACTGATCTAGCATTTGTCTGAGTACAGTATGTACGTGTCTCTAAAATGAAGACTATTCCATATACACACTCCTAAAAATGACATCTAGACAGCAGACATCCAGTTTGGAAATAGAGCATTGACACTCCTGGAGGACCGAGCACTGTGAGTCTCTGTTGAAGTGGTGATACTTTTACTTCTAGGCTACTGTTCTGAGTCTGGCTGCTTCAATAAAGTATTTTAATTAGTTCCTAGCAAGGTGAAAGATGTAATCCATACATGGTTCCACGGAAGTGGTAGATTTCCTTCTGTGCTAAATAGGGAGCTCTTTGGAACCTTTTCAGTGCAGAGCTCTCCTTGGGGTCTCCAGGCTGAGGCAGAGGTCAGAATTCTATTATGTGTGATAAGCTTGCACAGGTTGTTGACCACCTAGTATATGTCACAGGTTTAAGTTGAATGATCTTTTTCTGAAAAACAAACTGTTGGGAATTTTTCATTTTCATGGTTTCTGAATCTGCCATAAATTCTTTTGAAGGCTTGGAGTTTTGGAAAACAAAGGGAAGGAAAGAAGCTTTAGTGTTGGAATTCCCTGAGGCTGGGAGTCTTATGTTACTATTCCCTCCAGAGAAACATCACTTTTAAGTTTCTCTTTGTTATAGCCACTTCAGGAGGAAGTTGAAATGTTGAATTATATGTGAGAAATGTTGTTGGATATCTGAGATTAAATCATAGAACCATGTCTTAGGTGAAATAGTAGAATGAGGGAAAGAAGAATTGTTTAGATTAATGGGGGAAAGATGAGTTTCCTCAGATCCCTGAAACTCTTCTGGAGATTGTTTTTCTTCCTTTAGACTTTTGTGAGAAAACCTGGAGTTTGTGACCATGATGATCTGCATGTTTTAACCCAAGAGAACTGGGTCATGTCACTGGAATTTTATCCCTTTGCCTGTATGCTAGAAATGGAAATATTCTCACCTACCTTCTTGCACTAAGCCAGCCCTTGCAAAAGGTAGGAAAAATGTACCGCCAAAAATAAATGTTTTTTTTTTCTTTTCCCTTGTCTCTCTGCAGCAATTTGGCAAAATCCTTGATGTAGAGATAATCTTTAATGAGCGTGGCTCGAAGGTAAGTCCTGTTTCTGTACCCGCTTCTCTTGTTTTGATTGCAGAGTAAAAGGCAGTTCATTGCCTAGAGAACATATTCTGTAGAGATCAGCAGGAATTAGAGTGATGGGGGAAGGGAAAAGCTATTTTAGGGATTGTCTCCTGTTCCCTCTGACTTGAGACTCTGAGCATGATTGTTTCTGGGTAGCATGTACAAGTGCTCAGAGATGCTCCTGTCTGTGGGATCAGGTTCTCCAGCCTTTTGAACAAACAGGGTCTCAGTCAGCTGAGCCTTCATACCAACCCGTTTCCATTGCATTGGCAATGGCTGCCCTGTGAGGAAGGCAGAATAAGGTAAAACAGCTTTGTGTGATGGGAGGCTGTAAGAACAAAAGCTAAACTCACTCCCATCCCTGCCATTTTCATTGCATTAAAAGACTTCTGTAGAAAAACTGTCATATCTCATATGTGGAAGGATTTTATATACTGTTTTGCAGACTTATTTGGCATTTCTGAGATACTGACCTTTCATGTTTGAGATATTGGTGCTTTAATATAAGCATCCTCATTCCACTTATCCTGCCCCATGTGGACCTCCCCCACAGAATTTGCATTCACACTCCTATTTTCTTCTTACAGATATATTAAGAGGCAAGTTTTGTTGAGGGTTAATGGCAATTTATATCTCTGGAGATGAGATTTCAAATGTTGCTCAGGTCAGCTGCAGAGAGATTCAGTGGTCTCTGTCCTAATTGGCAATTGGTTCTCATCATGTAACCAGTATCACCACAATGACAAATTGCTGTGATTCTCTCTCTGCCCAGGAGGTTCAGCACTGGAATAGCAGGGAGTTTTGCAGGTCAGGAGCGAGGTGCATTGCCAAAGCTCTATGGGGGAAGCTTGCACAGTGCATGTCTATACTCTGCTTGACTTAATCAATGCTAAGATTCCCATTTTCAATTAAAACAAAATTTCCCTCCTCCTCACACACACGTGTGTGCACATGTGTGCATGCACACAAAAGGTTTTGAAGTTGCAATTCAGCTAAGCAGTTTTGGTTTAGAGTCTATGCCTTTTGCTTGGATTTGAGGTCCACAGTTTTTATGGTGGCCTCTTTGCTTCAAGATATATTCTGGGGTATGTTCACGTTCAGAGCCTTCTGCAGATTTCCACCCTTGTTGCCCAAGATGCATTCTGAAATTCTTCAGTCCTGTATTATCTGGAAACCAGAAAGCCATTGATCTGTATACAAAAGACATGAGTTTTAGCCCTTTCCCCTCATCCTCTGTTTCTGCTTAATACCATGGTTTTCTCTTGTTTTGTTTTTTAACAAGACAGTCTGAACAAGTAAATGTCTATATGGTTTAGTTAGAGATTTACTTCCCTGCATGGTTAAAAATCTATATGCTTTACCAAAACAATCAGCTGTGCTGAATTTGTAAATATTTATTCTGCTCTCTGCTGTTCTTTTGATATTTATAGGCCAAAGCTACCTGTGAATTACTTTTGATTTTAGTCATTATTGTTTGGTTTTGAGAATAGCCTCTGGCCTCTATCAAATCCCTACTTGTTCACATATAATTGCAAAAGAAAGAACAAAAATAACTGGCCTGGCAAAATGTTCTTCATATCCCACTGCCTATGCTTTCCAGAGCAGTGTTTTCCTCTTCACACATGAACTTCACTCTCTCTCTCCCATCCATACAGCCCTGTGTATTAAACGCCCACGGCTGCCCTTTCCCTTCTAGGCAGCATTGACATTGAAAGCTTTTCTGTGAAGTCTTGATTTATGACTATGAAAAGTACCTTCTTGTGCTGTTGCTAAAGCCCAAGGCTTCTGGTTTTCAGTTAAAACAAAAATTATTACTGAAGAGTTCCTTGATGAATGTTGACCCTGAACCCTTAATAAATATTTGGAAAAAAAAAAAAAGAAAAAAAAGAGAAATGTTCTTCTAGTCTTTATTAACCATGCAGTTTTCTACTGCTTTTTTGTCTCGCAGCAAAAAGCAGTTACAAAACTAGTAGCCTATATTGAGGGTTGTCCAGAATCTGAACAGAATGAGAAAACAGCCAAAGAGTTATTTCATTGTATCTTTGCATCCTTCTCACCCAAAATAATTCTTCTTTTAAAAAGAATGCAAGATTCTTCCTGCTTAGCATGAAAATGGGAGGCCCCAGTGTTTGAGTGGGGTGTAGCTGCACGAAGCACCTGGTATTCACATAATAATGGAAAAACTACAGTTTGGTGATCTGATGGTGAAGCAAAGGAAATGGATCTTTCTGGAGGCCACTCACTCACTCTTGGGTTCTTCCTACACCTTAGGAAAAAAAAATCTGAATGCATTTTCCTGCCCTGTGGTTTCCATTCTAATCTAATGATATGAAACCTCTCTCTCTTCTTCTCCTTCTCCTCTCTCTTGGGAATCCGAAAGCAGATGCTCCTGCTGCCTGCCTTGTGCTGTGTTCTCAATGCTCCCTTCCCCTCCCTGGGTTCCTAAGGGTTGTAGTGTTTTGTGTATATGTTTTGTAAATATTTAAAAGGTACAGTGGTAAATTGCAAACTGCCCTGGGTTTGCCCCCACCCAGTGTGCGACAGGGTTGAGCAGCGCTTTGTCCCCGCTGAGCTGTGGCGGGAGAACTCTACTGGGATCGCTCCAGTGCTGTCAGTAGGAGGGACTGGAGGAGGTGTTCAGGTAGCATTCTTCATTTTGAATCCACCTGAGATGACCAGGCAGCTTTCTTTGACAGCCTGGGGAAGATCTATCAAACTGGCTGCATCTTCAGGATCTCTGTGTACTTAGAGAGTTTGGTGACCAAAGAGGGAGCTGGGTGTATCCATCTCACCTCAGGTTCTTTCAGGAATGGTATTTGTTGACTTTCTCTATCACAGCAGCATAGGAGGCAGTTAATGAGTTTTGCTGATTCTTCTCTCAAAGCAATATGAATTCTTGTTTTGTAACTCGCTTTCTTCCCAGATTGAGTCTGTTTAGTAGGAATATATGGGCCCTGATAGGCCTCACACTGCTACTGCTTCACTCTGTGTGAGAAACAAGATAAAAACTTTAAACATTCCTTGAATTACATTTTGGTTTTTTCTTGTTTAATAGAATGACGTCAGTCTTCCCTTGATGTATTTGGCTTTTTTTGCTTGCTTCCAGGAAACTAGCTGTTTGTTTCATTTATCCTGTTTACCATTACATTTCTAGCTCTGACTGGTATAAGTGCCTTTAAATAGCATTCTGCCCATGGTTGCAGTTTACCATGCACTTCACTGAACCGTGAATAAAACACCTCCAGAGGAAGTCGAGAGGATTCCTGCTCCTTTTGTTAGTGGAGATGCATCCTCTAGATGGGTATTTTGCCACTATTGTGTTGAATTGAACAAGTGGACATATTTGCAGAATTAATGCAGTCGGCCTGTGTAATGAGTACCCTGTGGCATTTGTAAAACTGCAGGGGAAGGGAATCCAAGCTCTTTGCTCACCAGCTGTGTACCGTGTGGCATTCCAAGATATGCCCTCATTGACATTCAGAGACCAAGAGTATGTAAGGATACAGCAAAATCTTGGTTGAATAGGGAGTGGGTTTTGGTGGTTTTGGGGTTGTTTGTAGCTTTTAAAATTGTAAGAGTTCATATTAATGCAGAGGAGCTCATGGTTTCAGGATACTGTAAGTTTTATGTCCCTCACTGATTTCCACTTGGGAGACCCAGATCTCCAAATTCTTGTATAGGACTATAGGACCTATAAGTGCTTCATATTTATTTCAAATATTAGTTGTGTAGTCAGTTATGAGAGAAATTGCATCTGTTGGTGTTTGAATTTATGTAAGTAAACCTATATTAACAAAAAACTTCTGTGGAAGCTGTGTGGATTTTTAAGTTTGCAGTTAACTGTGAGTTAAGATAAGAATGTGACTAGGTTTTGGTAATGGTGCCTTAAAGATTGTAAGTTTGCATGTGCATTTATTTCTACTTTAAAGGGATTAGGTGCTTTGAGTTGAGGCACTCTTGTTCTGGGCCTAGTTTCCACTCAGTGGAAAGCCCCTTATTGCATAAAATGAATTAGAAATCTTGTTTTCATTTTAATTCATTTTATAATTTTTGGTCAGATTTCATCAGTTGAACCAGAAATACAAACAATATTATTGTTAAAACAATGAGGTTTAAAAACAATTTAAGTACTGGTGACCAGCATCACTTTCTCAGGTCACCAAATCCCTTTAGGATGCCAGTGGCATGAAGGAGACATGACCAGTCTCCCTTTATCCTAGTTCATTGGTTTCATGCCTTGAAGTCTGCAATACTGAACTAAAGAGATCAATTAGTCCATACACTGAACTGATATATTTAAACTTGCATTTCAGGCTGACGTTTATGGTTTCATAGTATAAGCTGATCTACTGCTCCTGTGGGAGTGCTTTTCCAGTAGTGCTCACTTCACTATGTAGGGAGCTGGATCTAGGTGCTAAATTAGCTGATGCAGCAGGGAGAGGAATGAGGTTGTCTTCAGTCAGTTCAGCCTGTTAAACTCATGGACCACGCAGTGAGGTCCAGGATCAGTTGAAGAGAGGAGGAGCAGCACACACTGGGGATGACTGGGGCTGTGAAGCCCCTGTCCTGAGCTGGCTGGAGCTGCTCTGAAGCCCCAGGCTCTCGCTGCCCAGCAGTGCAGGCTGGGCTCCAGCTCCTCGCTGCTGGCCTCTGCCCCCTCTGCTGTTTTGCAGCAGGGATTGGCAGTGGAGCAGCTCAAGCTGGATTGTGGAAATGATAGAGCTTAAAAATAGCCCTGCAGGATTTTTTGAAGATACTTATATTGTTTTTTTTTTTTAGTCAGGTTAATTTCTGTATCTGACTCACCAGATTGCACAGGTACACGGACATGTGCATGTTCTACATGTGTATGTACCTTAATGCAAATCATGGCACAGGGGCTGGGAGGAACTGGAAGAGCTCCTGGAATGGTGGCAGCTTGGTTTACACAGATATTTTCTCCAACATGAGGGGTGCATTTGTGTGTGTGACTTCAATAACTTGTTTCTGGGTTTTGTGCTGTGTTGCTGTCGGTGCATTCAGCCCTGCTCATCTCAGGTGGATTATAGCTGAAACCCTCCTACTCTTTCCAAATGCCTTGGAAACAGGTAGCCTAAACTGCTGCCTCTTTGGGAATTTTTTCAGGCTTTTAAAAGTTTAATATTGAAATAAGGGGAAAAAAAACAAAAAAAAACTTGGTTAGAAACAAGCACAGCAGCAGATAACAGCAAGGCTGGTTGCTGGCTGCATGTTCCAGTGGTACAAGGCAAAGACGCTGCTGCTGAGGTGACTGGTCTAAACTCCATGACAAACGAAGGGTTAACAATGCATGGATTTCAAGGGGCTCTGTTTAGTTTTCTTTGGTTTTATTTCTTTTTTATTTTACTTTATTTTATTTTTGTTGTTGTTTTTTGTTTAATTTCTGTGTTCTGGCCACACCCAGGAGAACCGTCTGGTTTTGATTTCTCCCTTTACGGTTACATGGTAAATTTTCTTTCTCATTCTTCAGAGATGGAAACGTTCAAATACTATATATATATATATACATTTATTATTTTTTTCACTGCTCATCATGTTGCTTGTTATTTATTGCAGAATCTGAGGCCAGACTAAAAGGGTGACAGTTACTCGGTCTCTTCAGGCCCTTTTAATAAACCTTTGGGTAAAAAGGGATTAGTCTGGTACTGCAAATTTCTCACCACTCCTAAAAATGTTTATTGGAATTTAGTGTTCGCTGGGTTAAACTTATCTTCTGCATGGGAGAAGTTAAACTTATTTTCTGCATTGGAGAAGTTTGTGGCAGTTGCTGGTGGGGAGGAATTGTTGAAAATTTCAGCCTTGTTATCATAACATTATTAAAATCAAACTATGTGTATAATCTAAATTTTAGAAAACCTAAGTATTGTGTTCATCTACGATCTTCCCTTCCTCTGGCTCCATACCTATTACTATGGAGCAATCCAGTACCTGCTATAAAGCTAAGCTGGTAAATATTGGATACCTGCCCCATCTTTTTTTCTCTTGCTTTGTTTCTTTTTTTTTTCTTTCAAGGTCAAGACAACCTTGCTGAGGGAAAACTGAAAAGTGTTTGTTGCATATGTATTTAGGTACAAATTAATCCCTATTCTTTACAGGTCGTCTGTGAGAAGGAATAAAAAATATATGTATGTTATTATTTCTCTCCCACTTAAAAAATGTGTGTATATATATCTAATTGCTAGTTTTTAAGCCTAGAAATAACAAAAATGTCAAGTGTGGCTCACCTGTTTTTCCTGATAGAAATTTGAATGTCTAAGAGATGCATTAATATGACAAACCAAGAGGACACAAATACTAACTGCCATAGTCAACTATGTAAAATATTAATTCAGCATTGACATCAAATGGTGCTCAGCAAAGAGTTGCACAAGCTAAGGGCTGATCTGTCAATAAAATATGCTTAATTAGTTATGTTGTTCTGAATCAGATTAATTCTGGTTTAATTCACATTGTTAATTATGTTCATATAGTCTGCATGTGGATTGTATGCTACCTTGAGTTAACTTAATAAAAATACTGAAAATTCCTACTCAGTTTAAAGATATTTAATGATAATATAGTTTCTAAAAATCCCATACAGACTTTACTAATTGCAAACAGATGTGAATTAAAATAGTCTTAGTTTGGTTCTAGCCCGCACAGATTAATGTCTATAGAATTACTTTCCATCTGCACTCCAGCTTTCAGTTCACATCATCACTGAAGACATAAATTTCATTTGTTCTCCACAGGCTTGTCTAGAACAAACAGAAATTTTAATGCAAAAAGAGAAGAGGGAAATAGAGATTCCTGTTGCAGTCTTTACCTCCCCTCCTCCCCCAGCCTTTAAAGGATGTTTTTTCCCCATTATGCAGAACCAGAGGGAAAGGTGTTGCTCTTTTTCTCAGGCTTACCTTTCTCTGTAGGGTCTCTTTAAAGGAGGCACAGTACCCTATTCCTTCATAATCAGCTGTGCTATTACACCCCCCGCATCCACTCAGTTCTCTGCAACATATTTGAGAGTTATATGCAGTTGGGCTGTTTTATTAGCCCCTGTGTCTTGTAGCTCTGATTTTAATTCATTTAAACAGGGAACTTCTATGCTGTTCTGAAAGAGGCATCAGTTTGTTATTTATATAGCTCTTTATTTATAGCTGGAGAAATTAAATTATCTGAAGCTTTAGATTATTGGGTTGGAGCCCAAAGGAGCGCTTTTGTTGATCTCAGCATTGCAGTGCTGGCTAAGATCCTTTATTATTACTGTTCAGGGGGGAGGGAAAAAAGTAAACCTTCCCCCTCAAAAAAAAACTACAGCCACCACCCTGCATTTTACAAATTTATGGCAGTTTTGTGCTGGAAACCTGGCTGTGGATGATAAAGGCCAGCTTGTCACTTAAACAGCTTGGGCTGTTCAGATTAGTAAGATTAGTATTGTAAAGACCTTTAAAAAGCACTTAAAGAATAATAGCTTGCTTGTGTCTTATTGCTAACAATGCTTAGAAATCAAGATGCTATCTGTTTTTTGGGCTGTCCAGTCCAAATACTTACTGATCCCAAGGTGCATGAAGGAGGTTGCCTGGCTAGCATGCCCCCCTTCCCTGACAAGCATAGCTGTAGATCACTCTCATCACCTCGCTCTTCAGTTAACATTGGGAGGCAGTTTCCATTGCATCAAATATAAGCTTTGTTGTTCTGCTCCTGAGGGTACTGGAGCCAGTGGAAATTACTCTCTGTACATTAAAGCAGTATTTGCTTTATACCAAGCCACAGGAGCCAGTTGTTGCTGTTGTTAAAATGTCCTGAAAGCAGAATGCAACAATGCTTTTTTGTTTGGGTCCACTATCTCTAATGGCGTGAAGAGTATCTCATCACAGTTGTCTGTATTAAGATGCCATTTGCTCCTAGTTAAAATCCTAATTCATTTTGTCATGTTGGCTCTCTCTTAATGTCAGTGCACTCAGCTCTGTGGAAGGAAGCATGGTCTCTTACCCTGCCCTGTTATAGCACTGCATGAGCTGGCAGCAGGATGAGCATGTGTAGGACAGGCATGTGTTGCTTGTGCCTTCATGGGTGTGGTAAACCTGAATTTATCTAACTAAAGTGACATTTTGGCAGTCCTTGAGCCTTTGTGATTGCTCCAAGCAGGGCATGTCGATTTTTCTGGAAATTCTGTATTCTAACCAGGCAGAGATCTGTTGCTATCCACAGTGCGGAGGTTGCCATCTCAGAACACAGCTGAGTAAGATGGGTACCAGAGGGTCAGAGGGTCAGCAGATGTGTAGCAGTGTCATACAAAACCTGCCTTGACCAATGAATCACTATTTAGGTGTTTAGATGTACAGTCAAGTCCACCACAGTACTCAGAGATAAGAATATTCTGAAACTACAGTATGCGATACTCTAAATCTTCACATTAAAAATGCTTATTTTATGGTGCCACCTGGAAGCCTTGCTTACTTTCAGGGCCCCATGTATCATTGGGGAAGCTACAGGCTTAGAAGTAGGCATGAGCTGTGCCCTGAAGAGCTTACAAGGGATGCTTTACAAAGAGCCCTTCCTTTCAACAGTGTTCTAAGGTAGGTAATTATTACTGTCTCCATTCCACAGGTGGGAAAAGTAAGGTTCAACGTTTGATTTGCCTAAAGTGTTGCAGAATTCCTGGTGCCAGGCATGAACTCAGATTGCTCAAACTCTCATAGCAGTTCTCAAGGGAAAAAAGTGCTGCTCAGTGTTGATGCCTTGTACTGTGTCTGGGGTGGACGGGAGTCCTACGAAATTTGTGTGTTCATTAAGAGGGGAGAGAAGCCCTACTTGGCCTTACCCAGCTTGCCTATGTCAGAGCAGGGTTTAGTGTTTTTAAACAAAAAACCAAACCAAACCAAAATGAAAAATTGTCTCGAGTAACTTCGTACTTCTTTTTTGGTCTGGCCTCAATTGCTTTTATGTTTTCTTTTTTTTTTTTAATTACTCTTATTATTCTTATTATGATTACAGTTCCTTTTTTATTGATTTTAATTTCTTTCATTTATGAAACATGCATGAACCAACAATGTGACTCTAGGAGGTTATTGCTGAGTTGTGCTGATGTCGATTTCATACTGTGATATTTTTTCTCTATTTACCTAGAGATCAGTATTTCAATATATAACGATGTGCATGTTTTCCCCCCTTCTCCCGCTGCATGCAGGGATTCGGGTTCGTAACTTTCGAGAATAGTGCTGATGCAGACAGGGCCAGGGAGAAATTACACGGCACCGTGGTAGAGGGCCGTAAAATCGAGGTGCATGTCTTCAGTAATTCAATTTCTTCTTTATATTTATTCTTTTGATTTCTTTTTGTGTCTTGCCTCACTTATTTCACATTTGGATCCCAGTCTCGTGTGTGCGTGTGTGTTTGTCTGTGTCCTTCACCTCCCTGCACTGAAATGTATAGAAGTTTACACCCTTTACAGAATATTTTTTATTGTTGTTTTGGGTATTTTTTTCCTTTTCTTTCTTCTTTTATTAAGTTTTATTCCCACCCACTCCAAGTTTTTGCCCTTCTGCTGTCTTGATTTTTCCTTTGCTTCAGTTTGCAAGGCTCCGATTTCCTGTTACCAGGCCTGAACAAAACTAACTGAAAGAGTACTGTCCAACTTCTAACTGTGTCCAAAAAAGAAAGCAGGGGGCCAGCCAGTATCCTCTCTTTCCTCTGAGGCCAGTTCTCCTCCATGCAAGTGTGAGATGATGCCTGTGGGAGGGGTGGGGACACGTGGGGCAGCAGCCTCAGGTGGGCTGTGCTATATACACTGCTGGTTTCTTGATCAGCCCGTGGTCAAGAATAGGTTTGGTGAAAGCTAATCCTTAAAGTCTGCTAGCTCTCGCCGCCAGGGAGGGAAGGGTTAATGTTGGCTGGCCATCATGGCCATATGTTGGGCCTGTCTGGTGTTGACCAGTTTGGTGTTCCACTGTGTTGAAGGCTAACTGGCATCATCCCTCTCTCCTTCTTTCTTTAAAAAAAACAAACACAAACCAAAAAGTACAAATATTGAAACAAAAAAAGCCGCCGTTTTTGAGTAAGATGTCTGCATATTTTGCCTTTTTTTTTTTTTTTTCTGTTTTGTTTTGTTTTTTTATTTCCCTTTTCGATGGTTTAGCGTTTAGGGCCCTTCACTTGACTCACTCTTTCCATGGTAACTATACACAATGCTGGCGATGGTACGAGTTGGCGGTAAGTGAAACAAAAGTGCTAGAGAAGAAGCTTTTTCTTTTCTTTTTTTTTTAAATTTTTCTTAAAATTACAAAAAAAAATTAAGAAAGAAAAAATCCATCTGCCATCTCACATTAACACTACGAAATGTGATTTGACTTGTTGTCCCCACCCACCTCCTTCCCCTTCTCTCCCTTTTATTTTCAATGCTGTTGAGTAATGCCGCCTGGACTTTGGATGTACATATTGTTTTGTAGCAGTCTGAGCTGTTTGATTACTGACTTCATGGTGATTTCCCCTTGCACATCTTACTCAGAGTTACTGAACTCCAGTTTGGCTGGTTTTTATTAATGCACCCATATCCTCCTCTCTCTCTCCTGCCCCTTCTTTCTGCTGCTCTTTCTATCTGAGACCTGTTTGTAGCTGTTATTGTTTTTCTCTCTTTTTCTTTCTGCCCCCTCCCCAGTTTATTTCTTTACTAAGTTAAATGCAGCTGTTGGTCTCTTTGCTGACTGGTGGTTTCTGATTGGTTCTGGCAATTTTTCCTTTAAGTGCTTGTGTTGCACTTTGCTGTAGCAGCTGATTTCAGGCACTCGCTCCATCTAATGATTGTCTGTGAGACCCTATCCCCTCACTCCTCCCCTCCCCACCCTCTGAATCAATTGTGGTGTGTTATTTTTCTTTCTTTTTTTTATCTGTGTGTGTTTAACTGCATGCTCTCAGTCTCATCATTGTTGTTTCCCATTCTTTCTTTTTTAAATGTGTAATGTTTCTATTGTTTTGGGTCTGAAACAAGAGTAAAATGTAGCTCTGGACTCCCCACCCTGTGTACGCCCACCATCCATACATCTCAAGGGCCTGAGGCAGCTTCTATTTTTGTATCCATTTTTTTTCTTCTTCACCCTGGCCTCCATTCCCATTGGGCATGCATTTTGATAAATTATTGATGATTCATAAAGACTTCACCCTCCTTGCAAGAGCTTTGAGGCTGACACGGGGCTGCAGTAACTTGGCTTCCAAACTAGTCCATCTTTTCTTTATCAGCACCATCTCTGTGGTAACACCCCACTTGCTTGAGCAGTCAAACCGCTTGGAACTGTGCAGAGCTCTGTAAAGAGGGTGGAGGGCACAGTAAACCCAAAAATGATCCAGGTCTGCTGCTATGTACTCTTTTTGTCCCATGAGATTTGTGACAAGGAAAAAATTATCTGGAAAAAGATCTGAAAATGGTGGGTGTAAATCAGTGAATGTAGATCATCTAAAGAGTTGGTGATGTTCCTCAAGCCTTGGGAGTTCAAATCTAATGCTGAGGGACTCCAGGCTACCTTTTTCTACTCAAGTGTTCTGCCAGTGACCTGCCGGGCCCCAATTCCAGCGGTGAGCTTGAGAAGCAAGTCCGCTTGTGCATCACCTGGTTCAGTTCCCCTGCCCTGGGCTGCAGAAATTATTCCTGCCTCTCTAAGAGAACCTGGACAAAGCATCAAGGGTTTTGCCCTTTTGATCACTGAGCTGTAAATAATCCCGTGCCTAGGGATGTCAGGGTGGTGGAGAATCTGCACTTTACTCTTGTTGGCCTTTTGTTAATGCATAATTTTAAAATGCCACGTTTAGCTGTAACTTTTATAATTAAATGGCAACTGTTAAAAGTAATTTAAAGATTGCATTCATGTAAAATTAGCTGTTTAATTTTTTTTGCTCAGAGAAGTATAGTGTGTATGTGTGTGTGTGTGGTATCTGAGAGTTTTTCACCATTTTCCCTAACGTTCTGTGCTTCCTTCCCTCTACTCCCCCTCCCCTTTCTTACTTTTAGGTTAACAATGCCACTGCGAGAGTGATGACCAATAAGAAGATGGTCACACCTTATGCAAATGGTAAGAGAGACAGTTTGTACTAGTGATGAGCTGAAACGTTTGAAGAAAGACAAAAGAGAAAAGTCATGACCTCTCCTCAGGACCAAAAGGAACCAATAAAACCTCACAAACTCTAATTTGTATAATTATACCATTCAGTATAACCCAAAAGTGTTTGTGGAGAATACCATTTTCCAGATGGAGAAGTGGGGACAGAAAGAAGTAGGGACATGCCCCATGTGGCTAAGATGGGTGAAGGTGCCAAGGGCCAGTGGGTTGCCTGCCCTACTACTGCAAGCTGATTCTGTATGGTGGGATGTGCAGTACTCCTGAGTCTCACTGCCATCACATACATACCTAAATATGAATGCAGAAACATAACTTAAGATGCTTAATCTAAGTAATTAGCTGAATAATTTAAGATAGCTCAGTTTAGGTTCTATCTGTAAAAGTACAGCTGTCCCCAAGCAACCAGTAAAACAGAGCCTTTGCACTGCTTGTTTGCTTGCTTTTTGTTTCAGACTGCCTGTATTCACTGAATTTTCCAGTGAACCTAAACAGAGAAAGACCAAGTTGTTTGGGTAGTGAGGAATCCTGTTTCATTGGGATATCTTGGTGGTTCTCTGTGAAGTCATTTTACTTCATAGGCATATATAGCATAAAAAGTGATTCTCCCAGCAGAATGCTGCTTTGATAAAGATTTTGAATCTGAGTCTTTCTCCTGAAACGGGCAGCAAAGTTCTTTTCAGTGTGAAAGTGTTCCCAAACAGTTTCTACAAGGCAGGAAGCTGCATACAGGTAGTAGCTGGTGTGACAATGTGTTTTGATTACAAAGTCTCCAGACTCAGAAGATAAAAATGTTTTATGTTGCTCTGCTGCTGACTTACTGAGTGGTCCCTTTCAAGTAAATCTTACCTTGGGTACAGAGCTGGGGAAACATAGTCAGGCAAAAGGCTTGGGACTGTGGGTCTCACAGTACCTGGAAGGAACTAGGAGATTTTGTAGCAAAAGGCAAGGCATCCATGGTACATTGTCCTGAAAACAAGAGCAGAAAATGTCATGTATGTGACGGTTTGGTACTGAAACTTGGCTTACTTGTGAAAGTGATAGCCTACAAGAATATTTTGCTTTTGCAGCCAGCAGTTTAAAGCAAACTTTAAAGCTATGCAAAGAAATTTAGTATTAGACCAGGCTTAAGGAGTACTGGCAAGTATGGTTGTACAACTGTTATTAAATTTAAGAGTTGATAGTGCTCTTGTTGCCACTACTGGAGTATTTTGCCGTCAAGGTGACCAGTGCAGCAGCAGTGTGCCTGTACTTGCAGAGGGAGCCTGCACTGCATCTGTCATTGACACTCTGCCAGCAGGTGCACGTGTGGTGGTGATGGGATGCAGTTCTCAGAGTTGTTCATATAGCTTCTAGAGTGGTTAGAGGTGTTAAAAGTTCAGCAAGTGCACCAGGGCTCCAAGACAGAGGAAGCGTATAGATTTATTTAAATAAAAATGCCTCTGTGATTGCTAGCTGAACAGCTGAGATCTTTTCTGAAAGAAATGCTTTGTGGAAGCCAGCCCAGATCACATTGTTAGCTTTATATTTCTTTTCTCCCGCATTAGAAAGATGGAGGGGGGAAAGACAAATAGGTTTCTAGATGTGACTGGACATATGTACCAACTCATACCCATACTTCTTTAAGCTCTATTCTCTTGTATGTTTTATCTTGATGATTTGGAGTTCTTGCCAATTATCCAGATTATATTGAAATAATTTCTCTGTGAAGGTTTTCACCTGAAAAGCAGCATAAAGAAGAGAAATACTAAAATAACAGTGAGGAGAAAGTGTGAGATGAATAGAATGATTTTTTTTTTTAAGTGAACTACAGTTGCATAATGCAGTTAATGAGGAAATTCAGACACTGTTGCTTTTTAGCAGATCTCTAGCAGACGAGAGAAGGGTGCTTTGAGAATTCAAGGCTATAATTTGACTTGCCTGAGATGACAGTCTGGGCCAGTGGCTTTAGAGAGGGCTTATATCTGCAGTGTTCCCAGTGAAAGTAGGGAGGAGCTGGCAGCAAGGCTCCCGTAGGGAATGCCAGGTCGCACGGTGCTCGTGGCAAATACACATATAAGGTAGTTGGCATTCCCACAGCAGTGCCTCTGCCTGCTGCAGATCAGCTGATGTTTTGCTGTTCCCTCCGATACACCGGTGACCTGCACCTAGAGCTTGACATTAGGAAAGGGCAGTTGGCCTCCATCTACACCAAGGGGGATTGAGGCGAAGCAGAAATTGGAAAGAGCTGTGCATGTGAAGCTGGGGCGCATGCAAGAGACCATTCCCCCTACCCACGCTGCCCGTTCCTTCTCTTGGTGTAGATTTTGGCATTCACTGCAGTCTTTGTTGTTTCAGGTTGGAAGTTGAGTCCTGTGGTTGGAGCGGTGTACGGCCCTGAGTTATATGCAGGTAGAGCTTAAGTAGACACTTCCACTTCTGCCATTTAACTGCAGTGGTGTTTGTTTATGTTCTTAATCTGCTGTTTCTTTATAACCTTTTTACGGTTTTGTTTTTGTTTTTTATTCTTTTTTTAATTAAATTAGCATCCAGCTTTCAAGCAGATGTCTCGCTGGGCAATGACGCTGCAGTGCCCCTGTCAGGAAGGGGGGGTATTAACACTTACATTCCTTTAATCAGTAAGTAGCCCCCAATGGCCCTTGTACTGTTACTGTGCTTGAGTTAATAATGACCTGTTACCCTTCTTCTCTCCAGTCTGTATAATATATACTTGAAAGGATGGGTCACGCTGGGAATGAGTTTACCTTGAGCCAAAGTATAGTGTGCAGTTGCTGTAACTTGTTCATCTGCAGTGTCTTGCTGTACTGCTGAATGGGTCCTTCTGAACGACAAGGAGGCTGCAGAACAAGGGGAGGGTGTGTGTGAGGAATGGGCCATTCCCTTGCTCCCCTCCTTGTATTGAAATGGAAGAAACCTAACAGACAAATCCCTAAAGTACATATTATACAAGCTGTTGAACCACAGGTCTGCAGGGCCCCTAGTGGCATGCTCCTGGATGCATGCTGGGTTGGGTTTGTGCCCTGGGACTTGTTCCCTCTCAGTATCTGTTTATGACGTGTTTGCAGATGCCTCTGAGGTTTTACAAAGTTTCATCACAAGCCAGTTTACTCCAGTTTAAAGTATAATGATAGAGGCATTGCTATATGTGGTGCCAGTTATTGGTCACACTTGTTAAATGAAGGTGGGCTTTCAGTAAACTGGCATTTTATGGGAAATTGCTGCTGCTGTTATATGGGCTATCTTGTCTTTCAGGCTTTAAAATGAACATACAGAGGATTGGGTGGCAAAGAGTGGGAGGGGAAAGGAGGGAAGAGACTGATGTAAGTTGGTTGACTTTAAGGGCCTCTTGACAAATTATTTTAAAGAGCCTCTGCAGTTTTGGAAGAACTGCGTGCTGTATTGATAGTAACTCCCCATGCTTCTCAGACTCTAACCAGACTGCATGGCAGTATTGAAAGGTGGGGGGATTTGAGCCCTGTTTGGGGTGGGTAAGGCATGCCAAAACATTAACCTCTTGCATGCCAAACCTCTCTGCAACCCTTCTACCCCCAAAGGCCATGGTGTAGCAGGAAGTATGTATGGGATGCTTGCTGGGTTATAAGCATGTCCTTCTGCAGGATTGATGCCAAATGTCCCACCGCTGTGGAGCTGTTGTGTCACTTTGTTTGAAGCAGGTGGTTGCTCTCTGGAGTGGAGATTGTATCCTTTTCACCTTCCACCTTGTCTATCTTCACAGTTCCAGGCTTCCCCTATCCAACTGCAGCCACCACAGCGGCCGCGTTTCGGGGCGCCCATCTGAGGGGCCGAGGAAGGACAGTGTACGGGGCAGTGCGGGCAGTTCCTCCCACGGCCATCCCTGCCTACCCAGGGTAAGCACTGTCACAAGAGCAGAGTGCTCTGCACAGCCGTGTCAAAGAGCTAATCGGTTAACAAAACCCTAAAATTGTCTGGATGGTGAGAGTCAAGATCTTGCTAGTGCCAGAGCATTCTGCACATGATGGCATACAGTGGGGGCAAATCTAAATTTTTCTGTGTTAAGTTCTTGACTGAAACAATTTTCAGTACTTGCAACAGCTTAAAGTGCTGATGGGTTCCTTCTCATAATTTCTCAATTTGTCTGTATATGGTATTTGTCATCCATTGACCCAATATGTTATAGTGCTGCTGAGAAGGACACAAAGAGAAGATCTAAAATTCCTGAAAAACTTCTGCTCTTTGTACTCCATTTGTGTTTCCATATTCAGGAATGAGAAATATTATCCATTAATTCATGCCTCACCATCTGGCAGTAGGACACAGAAGAGCCAGTTACCCACAATGGATTTGCTTTCTTTGTTGGAGACGGTTTAAAAAGGTTTAAAACAAAGATTAATCAAGTCCATTAATTTAAAGCTGGGAGTGTTTGGGATGTAGAGAGAATGATAATGCAATGAAGCAATGGCAAATGTGTGGCCTTAGCATTCTTTGCCCTCAAATTTTCACTAGTAATGCAGTGCAAAAAATGCTGTTACAAAGGAGTATTCTGCTGTTTAAAAGTAGAGGGAACTAGATCTGTATGTGAGTTTTGGTTTGGGTTTTTGTTGGTTTGTTTAAATGTGGTGGAATGACAGATAGATAAATCAACAAATCCCTTCCAAACTGTCTTTTTTTTTGTTTTGTTTTGTTTCTGATTTTGAGGATGCTTTAATCATATTGTCTTGAGTTCTACTTGCCATATTTTCCAGGCCATGTTCTCAGAAAGAACAGGAGTAGAAACGAATCCTCCAGCACAGAGATGTGGACTGACCCTTCTTTTCCTTTACACTAGGCCCAAAGGGGAAGAAACAAAACCATAAATATTTTATTAAGAGGGAAAGTGGAATCCATACACATCAGTGCAGGGAGCTGGCCTGATCTATGCTGGATAAGCTCACAATACCTTCTGCAGCAGATTAAGTGATGAGAGCTACTGTGATCCTTTCAGAGTCTAGTCTGATTTTTAAAGTGGAGCTCCAGGAAGCAAGCTGCAATGCTCAAGTACCTGTCTAGCTTTGCTTTTTGGCAATTTTGGCAATGTTTGTATTAATTCACCAGAAGACTTTAAATGAAACCTCTCGTCTCAATATTGGTCTTCTGAACAGAGTGTTTCTTCTGGGTTTTCAAATCCACTTTTTTGCCATCACTCCTAGTTTACCTTCTCTATCCTCTAACCATAGCCTCTGACCTGCAATTGTCTGTCTATTGCTCTAAAAATGGCCTGGTCCAATTTTACTGGGGAGTGCTCCACAGTGAAACAAAGCAGCAAAGCTGAAAAGCTGAGCTAAGTGCTACCATCTAGCAGAATATGAAATATTTGCACCAGGGAGGCGGAATGTGCTTTTCATCCCTGGGAGTAACAGCTAGAGCATTCCTAGCCAGAGGCTGTCATGAGTGGGGCACTGGGAAGGCCTAGTCTTTGATGTAAATCCAGCCTGAGTCCCATGTAAAAGGTTTATTTTCATTTGAAATATGGGCCAGGCTCCAATGATTAGCCCTTCCAAATACTGTCTCATGTCTGTGTTTACTGGTATTACACTGAATTTTTCTGACCTTGCTAACTGATCCCATGTCTTCATGGGCAGCATACTACCTAGTAAACATTTACAGGGCACCAGTAAGCAAGGCAGATTCACAGAGTCCCAGAACTGTCCCTAGTCCCAAGCAGTGGGATGTAATTACCTACTACTGGTGTTTTTTGTCATCATAGTCTGTCTCTGCAAGATGCTTTGTAGAACAAATTGGATTCCTAGCGGAATAATACAAAATGTGCTGTACAATTCCATGTTGCAGTAACCTGTAGGACAGCCACCACTCTGTGTGGGCACTGTTGACCTCCATGGGGTCAGGGACAGGCACACGTTCCTGACATCTTGCCCTCCATCCATTACTTTCTTCCTGGCCAGTGGAAAGATGACACCATAAGATCAGTCAGCAACATGAATGACCAAGACATAGTGAGTAATGTTGAAGAAAACAGTAAAGTGGGTTACAGGTTAACTCAAACCTGATAGAAGGAATTGGTATTCCCAAACCTCAGTGGTGTTTAAGTTAGAAAACTTAATGGTATCACTGCATTTGAGAGCTTAGCAGAATTTAAAAAATACAGAATGTAGATTAATAAAAGCTCATTGGTATTGCCATACTGGATCAGACCTGAGCACCATCCAGGTGAGAGTAAGTTTTGACAGTGTCAAATGCTAAGCCAGAGGAAGGTGCAAGAAATCATAGCTCTTAATAGTTTTAATATTTATTTCAAGAACTCAGGATTTGCCAATGCCTATGTGGAATGCCCATACTTATGTGTGGCCATGGTTGTTTATCCAGAGAAGGGTTTTGATACCTCAGAAAGCAACTGCTTAGACTATTGTAGGTGAGTTAGATAGTCACCTAAACCTCACTTTGAACAGTACTGCAACCTTCAGTTTTCAACTGAGGTGCCACTTGGTAGAAATAAGGAGACATTATAATCTCTGATATAAAGCACAAGTAAAAACTGTACTGGAATATTGCCCTGATTTGTAGCAGCCATGCTTTTTAAATGAGAATGCTAACAAATAACATTTCAGACCAAAAGCTGAAAGAATCCAGACAGTCTGAAAAAAACTCACCTACTATAAAACTCTCAAAGTTAAATAAGCTTGATAAATTTTATTTCTCAAACTATAGGTTAGTCATTGGCTTGTGCATGGTCATTAAGTACCTATATGAGGAATAGACTTGCCATAGTAAATAGTAATTTTGTCTAGGAGTGTAAATATATATGAAATTCACTGATTTGAAGCCATAGTAGATAGAAGACTAGATACAGGGCAGCAGTCAGCTTTGAGGGTTTGAAGTGTTTTTTTTCGCTCCTTTTCCAACACAACAGTCAGCTGTTGGTACACCTAAATGATATGCTGGCTACTTTACAAAACCAGCCTGTTTCTTTTTCCCTTGGATGTGTTTTAGCACAGCTAGTAGGCTTTTCACAGATTGCTCCAAGATTTGACTGGCTGCCAGGCTGTTTTATACTTCTGGTCAAGCTACATAACCGAAATGTGGTTCTCAGATGAAGGAATTCTCTGGTTTTGCTAGCATTAAGAATCACAAGTATGGATATTCTGCCATATAAATAAACCTTGCTGAATTTCAGCCCTGGAAGCTGATGTCAGTCAAATCCTAACTAAAGCAAAGATGAAGGATTCATGTGTGTTTGGGTGTTTGGATCCATGAAGTCTTATTCTTACCTGTTATTAGTGTTCCTTGCAGTTTTCTCTGGAGAGCTGATGCTAGCATCTCTTGCTGATAGAAATAGTGGCCTGATCCAATGTGGTAATGCTTATGTTCATCCAACTGCCTATGTTTGGAATAACTGTTAAAACTGCTAACCTGTTCATAAACCAAGTCACTTCCTCTGTCGTGCGTTTGCCTTTCCTGCAGGAGCAGGTGGAGTATCACTGCTAAAACACTCCTGGTCCTAGATAGAGAACCCAGCAATGTAAGTCACTGCCCCAGGAGCCAAACTCTTTGTTATGTGGTTGTAAAAATTTAGCTTCAACAAACATGATCTTATGGCCTGCTTCTCCCTGCTGAAGTGGCTCCCCTCTTCCTCTAACAAGGGTCTCTATCTTCATTCCTGCTCCCAGCGCTCTTGGAGACTACAGTAACTGTGTCCATTGGGAATGGAGTGTACTTTTCCTGGGGAAGGCAGCAAGACTAAATTATTCAAGCAGTAGCTAACACTGCAAGATTTTTTTTTTTTTTTTTTTTTTTTAGTAATAGCATGCAGAATTTTGGCAAGATCTGCTGGGCTTTTTTTGTGTGTGTGTGCCTTACAATAGGTGGGTGTCTGAGGGTTGCAGGCTCTTGGCAGCATTTCACATTCCATCTGATGAGTAAAAAATGGTAGTCAAAAGAATAGCTAGTGTTCCATACCTTCTTTTTTCTTAATGCTGTGGGTAAGTCATGCACATCAGATCCACGAGCATCACAGATGGTTGGGTTAATGCTTTTTAAAGCCTTGAGCGAGTTTGTGTGGAGCTCTTCAGGGGACAAAGCTGGAGGAAATTCCTCAGTATATGAAGCACACGCTGAACTCAAATGGGTGGGGGGCATCCCCTCTCTTCCTTCCTCATCCTTCCCCAACCCCTGTCCCCAGAGTGAGCTGTGTAGTCTTATGCCTAGTGAATGCTCTGGTAAGAGCAGCTATTTGGGAACCCCAGGCTCTGTTTAACAGTTTTCGTGCTTGAAGTTCTGAGAGAAACAAAACTATGGCTTAAAGCAGAAAAAGCACCATCCCATGGAAACCCTTCCAGTTGCGTCTCTCTGCTAAGGAATAAGTAATTACTACCAGGGACTCCCACTGCACCTTTCAATTTTCGGATCTTGGACCAGTCACCTAACCTTTTTAGCTCATTATCTCTGCTTGTGAAAGCAATGCATTGTGGGTATTTTTGGTTTTTTCTTTTCAATTACATTTCTCTGTGTTTACTTTGATCAGAATTGATTGACTTGTTTTCCTGAGGTGTTGCATCGGTTCTTTAAGATGCTGAATAATAATACTTTGCATGCTTGTGTGATCAGCCAAATCTTATCGCATGTCTAATGTGCAGGGTAAAAGCAGGTGATGTATGGATGTCAGAAACAAAACTCATGCAGCCCTGTGAAGCCTGAAAAATGTAATCAGGCACAAGTCTCTGAACCACACTTCCTGACGTAGGCGACTCCAGCCCCTGTGGGATGCCTTCTGTGAAGGGCTCCTCAATTTCACAAGCCCACTTCATGAAGCCAATGTTTCCATGTGTTTTAGGGGGTAACTAAAATCATTCCAGGAGAATAACCAGAGTGGAGGCTTCTACACCCTTGTGTCTCTCTTCAGGACGTCAGATCTTTTTGAGTCAATATTTGCTGTACAAGATGGTGGTTCCCCTCCGTCTCTCCTTTGCATACTGTCTCCCCCTCTGCCCACCCCCTGCCCCTTTGCATGCCATGGAAGATGACTTGGAGCCATGCGTGCGCACACATGTTCTCTTGCTGATTTGCTCCTGCCAAAAGCCCAGGTTGTGGATTCATACATCACCTGCCTGTGTAAAACGCATGTGCATGCTGCCGTCCTCAATAACCGGAATGTGTTTTCTGTTCTTTTGTTTTTTGTTTGTTTTTTTCTTTTGTTTTGGTTTTTTTTTTTGTTTTGTTTTGTTTTTGTGTGGATTTTCTGCAGTGTGGTTTACCAGGACGGATTTTACGGTGCTGACCTCTATGTAAGTACACACACCGGAGCCTTCTTTGTCCCCAACCCCTGACAAGCCAGCCTTTTTTTATTTTCTTTTCTTTTTCTTTTGGTTTGTTCGTTTGGTTTGGTTTTTTAAATATCATTTACTTTTATTTTCTTCTTCCTGTGGATATATATATTTATATATTTAGGAATGCAAGCATGCTTCTCTGTCACTGCGCTTGCCCCTGGGTGCAAGACCTAAGCCTTTGGGTTTCCTGATCATTGCCAGGGTCAGTTTATTTGGTGTCCTGCCCCCCACATTCACACTGGTACTAATCAACCTGAGAGATGATTAGCAAATTAAAATTTCTCTCAACACTTCTCTCATTTACATAATTTGGATATAAAAATAACAGGACTGGTTTAGCCTCAGACCTTCCCTTTCCTTCTCCCCCTCTTCCCTCCCCTTTCTCTTCCCTCTTGGGGCCTTTTTGGGTTTGATTTGTGTAGCCCACACTACACTGAACAAGTTGTATGTTTAAAAATGTTCATGTGCCACTGGGATGTGGAGATTATCCCTTTGGGGAAGACACTGGGACTGATTAAAAATGGAGGCTGAGATGCTAGAGTGAAAACTGACATCTCATTTTGCTGGTAGGAATGGCACCTAAATAGGCTAGATTCTCTCACCTCTTCAGGGAATTGTAAAGTACAAATATGTGGAGATGTTCGGTTACAAGAGTCAGCAGCCTCCTCCTGTTGGGGAATTAGCTATTATACCATGGGAGACTTTGTCCTGTCACTGTCTTTGTCCTACCCAGTCAGTCTGTATTGCAAATCTCCAGGGCGTCTGTGTGTACATAGGTGGGTTGTGGATGGAGGTATTTGAACTAGCCAGTGAGCAAAGTGCTTTCCTCTCCAAGGGAGAGCTGTTGCAGGGCAGGAATATGGTAGGAACTTGCCTTTCAAAGCTAAAATATTCAGTTGCCACTGCAGCTCATAGCCTGCCTGGCTTTATCAGAGTTCCCAGTTGTTGCATTGTAGGTCATAGCTCCCTGCAGCTGGGAAGTTTTGTATAGTTTGGGTAGTGACACAATTGTCAGCACAAATTTCACAGTCCTGCTCCTTTGAAGGTGCTATTCCTGCCATTTATAAAGAGGACCCTGGGGTTAGACTCAGGATAATGGATGGAACTAGCTTTTGGATTTTGTTGGCTTATATGGAGGAGGAAGTTTGGGACAGGTGCTTTTTCCAGCCCAGGTAGAGCAGTTGGAAGATGTGCTCTCTGAGATAGAAAGAACTGCATGCATTTCTTCACTCTTCCATATACTATCATGTGTGCAGTTCTTTAAAGATTGATCTGCCTAGTCAAGTGTTTCTTTATAAAGCTGTGTCAAGGACTACGGAAGGTTCTGTGTTTTCCTGCCTCACTCCTAAAGCACTGCCTTTACAGACACTGACTTTGCTATGGCACGTAACCAAGAAAATGAGTGGTGCTTAGTGCCTCTTCCCACAGAGTGTGGCATATAAAAGGCTGCCATGTTGAAAGGGAAGTCTGGCCAGGGTTACTCCCTATTTTTGAGAAAGCTTCTTCAGAGCTTTTGTTGGGGAGGAGAGGCTTATATAACATGTAAGGACAGAAACTTCAGCAGTGAACTCCTGTAACCACTTGGTGCTCCAGAGCAGTACCACCATGTAACACAAAGCCCCCAGGTCAGGTTAGAGCCATTAGGTGGATTTCTGATGACTTTGCTGTTGGTGGCAGTGGTGTCACTATCAGAAAGCAGGATGATGGAAGAGAGGACTGCATCGAAGTAGATGGTGATGCTTTTACCTGTGTTATTGCTAGCCAGAGCCCTCCAATGGAGCTCAGGAAAAAGTTACCATTATCCAAACTTGAAGTTGCCCTTCCAAACAGTTTGCTTGGCACAGGTGGAATGACTTCAATGTCCCTGTGTCTCACTGATTTGTTGTGCTTTTCACTGCAGAGCCTCTATCCCTCTGTGATAGGTTTACCCAGATTCTGGAAGGTATGGCAGAGGACATTTGAGTTAGGACTGGGGGGAATTAAATCGAGGTTCTCTTAAGATTTCTGAGTCCATAGGGTTGTGGAAAAGGAGCTGAGCTGGCAGGGAGTGGTTTATAGTAGGTGAGATGAAAGGGAAGTGTCCCAAGTTTGGGCTGCTTTTTCTGCATAATGCTATGCACAGATTTCTCATTTTCCTCCTCCTCCTTTTCCTCACTCCTTTTTTCTTTCCTGGGGCAACCATCCTGCTAGCCATTTCTTCTGTGAAGAAGGCATTCCATCTGTTGTTGGATGCGTCCCACTCTGGCAAGACACCTGAATTGATAAAACAAGCTGCCCCAGGATGCAGAGGGCTTCATTTCGGATCATAAGAAAGGTTATCTTTCTTCTACAATGGGGTCAATCTGGGTGGCGGGGGGGGAACCCAAACAAACCCACCTGTGCCAAGACTGCTCCTGCCTGTGAAAAGCGTGCTTGCATCCACTGGAAAGAAAAGGCTGGTGAGCCCCGCTGCGGGCTGTTTGTATGATTGTTTCTTTCCACAGCTGTGTTTTTTTGAACTGCTCTTCCTGTGTTCTGTTATAGAATAGTCTTACAGGAACCAATCATTAGCGCTAAAATACCTCAGGTAGGAGTGCCAGTGTGACCTGCCAACCAATCAGATTGTGGATTGCAGTGGAAAAAACTGAATTATACTAACCATTCCAGCACCACATTAGAGATGGGAACAGAGGCTTTTTTAGAGCAGCGCAGACTCACGTGTGAGCCAAGCCCCCGCTGCAGCAGGGTGGCGTGTGTCCAGATTTCATACCAAGTGGCATTTCACTCAAAATAAAAAAAAAAAAAACAACCAAAAACCAACAAAAAACTAAAAACCAACAAAACTTTAATTCAGTGGAAAGGTTAACAAGGTCATGCTTGTCCCATTACCATGTAGAAGCACCTGCTGCAATGGACACTGTTGTCCTGTCACCTCTTCTAATTCATTCATGCTCATTCCTGGTGCACGTATGCCACCCTCCTAATACAGAAATACCAGAAGCGGTTCTAGCCCTTTCTGCTTCGTAACTTCTGTCGTATGGAAGTATGGGGGTGGAGAAGACACATCTGAGAGATGGCAAATAAGAGACCCTAAAATTGGGCTCGCTGCCTAAACCTGGCAAGCAGTAAATGTACCTAACTGGTACCATGAGTTGCATATTTCTCTGGGGTTATGGACACACTTGTGTCCTAGGGGCAGAAAGGCTCTTTGGAGTAAAGAGGGCAGTGACATACTTTGTGTGCCCTTCTAAGGCAGGAAGGGAAAAAGAAAAGGGAGATTTATACCACACTTGCATAGTAAGCTCTAGTTTTGGATTTCTTCTTGCTCACGTTGGATTGATCACCTGATATGGACTTGAAGAGTGGTGGAGAAGATGTACTTGAGCTGAACTGCATAAAATGCTAATTTATTTTCATTAACATACTCAGTAATTGGAATGCTGCTTTAGTTGGGATTGCAGCTTCCTGTAGATGTTGTTTTCTCATGTTTGTCTTATTTCAGAAAATAGAAGACAATACTGAAAAAGCTGCCATCTAATGTTAAAGAAGGAATTTAAAGTAAAATACTGCTTTGTTGGTGAGCCAAGGATAGTAACATCACAGAAGAGTAATTTTAAATTGAGCTTTTGTTCATACCTAACAAATACAGCTGTTGGACAGCTCAGGTCTGTAGGCTCAAACACTACATGGAGAAAGGGATCCAGCATAGCCCCAGCAAGACTGGAATGCCAGATGGAGAAAGAGAGCTTGAATCAGCATAAGCAACATTTAGGCTGGTGGTCATTTCTCTCACATGGTCCCCAGACAATCCAAAAGCCTGTATACCAAAAAGGGCTAATCTTAATTTGCATGGTCCTTTTGGTTGTTTCTAATGCTCAGTGACAATGCACAAGCCTTCTTGCTAGTTCCCATTCCCTTATGGAGGCAGTAATTAAAGTGTCCCATTGATAGAAACGTCTCAGACATAACATCTGCACAAGAAGCTCAGCCACACTTACTTCCTTTGAGATGAGACTGAAGGTTTTTAAAAACAGAATCTGTATGGGTAACCTGTCCCTGTGGAGTCAAATAGGTGGAGTGGGAATTTGCATGGCTGTCCTGAGTTTCAGGCACTATGCCACTCATTGGTTTCTTCTGTTGCAGTTAGCTGTGGCACTGAAGGAATGTGTTGAAGCTGGCAAGGGCCTTTTTTTCCTTTCTTTTTTTTTTCTTTCTTTTTTTTTAATAATTCTTTCTTTCATTTGGAAACACATTTTCCCTCTTTGTTGCTGTGGTTGCAGATGCTCTATACTGTTATATTTTTTATTTACTGGAGTACCTGAAGTGGGTGGCACCAGAAATCACTAGGGGCCCTAGGACCTTGCAGATGAGCTCTGCATATCAGTTGCAAGTTTTGTGTGAAAAGGAATAGCAGGAAAGAATATCTGGTGCATTGGACAAGCTGAACAGGCTTTAGATGTATTTATTGAATTATATAGGTGGATCCTGAGTTGTGGAGAACAGGAGCATCAGCTGGGTAAGGCAATCTGTGCCTGCTCTGTACAGTCCCAGAGCTTGGTGAAAGGATTTATGTAAAAACAAATTATAGTTACAACAGTTCTTCCTTTTTCCTTCACCCTAGTTTGGTGTATTTGGACCTGCTGGTCATGCTAAATACATCCCGTCTCAGAAATCTCCCAGCTGTCCACACTCATTGCTCCTATGACAGGAATGCACCATGGCCATTATGATCCCCATTTTTGGTTTTATTTGAAGTACACCTAAGTAGACTTTGCAGATTGCTTTGAAGTGAGCAGGTCTGCCTGTATGTGTGTACCTCTATCCCGAGATTTTTTTTTTTCCTTTTTTAAATAACCAGTAGCTTCAATTTTGCATCAGTGCATGGTTAAAAAGCAATACACGTCAGCTATTTCTTAACTTCATTTCTCCAATGAATTATTTCTCCTGTTTTTTTGTTTTGTTTTGTTTTTTTTTGTTTGTTGTGCAGTTGACTGAAGAAATGTTAACATCCCGCTCTAAATCTCTCAGTGGAGTCTCTGTTCCCTTCTCTGATATAACAGATGGGTTATTGCTTGTTATAATTATTAACATTGTGGTGTGGGACAGGGCTGGGGTGGGAGCCATTCTGGGGGGCAAGGGGGGGCTGTGGGAGTCCTTGAGGTTGGAATGTTAACTCCAGTGGTGACTGACTGTTTCCGTAATAGCAGGTTGTTGTGGCTGCACGCTCTAGTACTTGAGGCTGTGTACTTCACTGAGCTTGTGGTAGAGCCTAGGGCGAGCTGCTGTCCCAAGAGAATGCTGGGATGGATAGAACTAGCCAATATGAGTCTGAACGTGGTGACTTTGCTGGTTGTTCTAGCTCCAGATGTCAGCATGCTTAGTTTTTAATTTTGATTAATAAATGTTACTCTGTTCCCTCTCCCACACCTGATTCCAACCCTTCTTTCTTCTTCTTCTTTTTTTTTTTTTTCTGTTTCTTTTTTTTTTTTTTTTTTTTTTGGTTTGGTTTGGTTTTGTTCTGTTTCGTTTTCCTTTATGAGAGACATGAGTTAAATGACAATTATATGATAAGCCTTTTTGGTTTCAAACTGCATCTTGCTGTCATGTTCAGAGTATGTGCCAGGCACATTTGAAGCAGCTTCTGGTCTGAAATGTGACTGGCAAGTGTGGAAGTGTGGGGCAGAGTGGGAATCAAGGGTGCCTGCTAAGGCCAGCTGCCCTGTGGAAGGTAGTGTCTGGAGAAAATGCCTCCTACACTGTGCCCAAGTGACAACCCAAGGGTTCAGGAAGCATATAGCCTAAGGGGAATACTGCAGTGGCATTGATACAAAGTCTTGTCTTAATTTGGTGAGGTTAATGAAGGTTGGATTTGGATTAAGGCTGCACCTCATTCCCCTGGCCTCTGTCATGTTTTACATGGTGGTACAATAATAACATGGCAAAACCAAGCTAAACATCCCCAACTGTCAATCCAAAATGCAGGATTTGAAACAGCCAGGTGAGATTAAAAGGGCTAAACTGTAACATGGCATCTTTTCCAGGCCATGTGGTGATGTTTAACAGGTGTTGCTTTTTACATCTGTGTTGCTTTTTTTCCTGTTAACTAAAAGATTGAAGAGGTTGCAACTCCCTTTTCTCTGGAGTAGGAAAGGATCTGCAAACATGTTTGGATAGCACATCAGCCTTCACAGGGCTAATGCAGGCCACATGAAAGAAACCAATATTAATTTAAAATCACTACTTCTAATTTAAAAGCTACCCAGGTTCGGATTGAGCAAAGACACAGTTCTGTAGTGGAGCTGATCTTGTTCCCTTCGTTAGTTACATGTATGCAAAAGATATATAGGGAAGAAGTGGTAGAGGTATGTTGAGCTTATTCTGAAGGTGAAGAGCATAACTCTGCCTTCTGGTCCTTCAAACCCTGAAATGTCAATTGGAAGAAAAAAATAAAATAAAAAAAAAAGCCAAAAGCAATCTGGCATTTTCTGATGTTTTTTATGGCTCATTGTGTTTCTAGAAAGTCAAAACTATGGTTCATTTACCAGGCCTTCACCCCAGGTTAAAAAAAGTGTTCAGAAATACAATAAAGATCTTACCAGGGCTTCAGAGTCCTATTTGCTGCCTGCTATGCCACCTTTGTCCCTGATCTGAAAGGTGCCTGGCCTTGGTCTTCCAGTACTGCAGGCCTTGCTCTGCCCCAAGAGCTCCTTGTGGGAGTTTCAGAAGGAGACTCACAGGTCTTCTCTGAGTCAGAATTCACATTTTGACAACACAGCTGTTAAGTACATTTTTAGTAACTACCTCCAATCACCTTTGCTACAGGTGTGTAGCATGGGCAGAAATACAGCAGCAGAACAGGCTGTTCTGTATGATTCTCTTGACCTGTTTCTTTCGTATATGGAGAGGAGGGGAGAATAGTCTGGCTGGCCTCAATATTGGTTTGCTTGTTGACAGCCCTGAAACTAACGAGACTGTCTTCTCTGATCATCTTTTCCTGATTACTTTTCACCTTCTCTGATTACTGCTACTTTTGCACATGTGGATCCCACTTAGTTCTAGCCCTTTGGGTTTTCCTGGCTGTAAAAGAGAGAGGGTAAAAAAAAAAAGTAGGAATTTCTCTGAATGGTTCCCTTCCTAAAATACTTCATAGAAAGTGTCCACCTCTGATTTCCCCTCCTTAAGAGGAAGGGGTCATAAAAATTACCTTGCATGCAAGATTCCGGGTCTTTCCTAGTTTCCATTTCCTCCATGCCAAATTGCATTTTCTCTAGGGTTGTAACAATGCTCAGTCTTCCTTTAGTGTATTCCTTTTTCTAAAGAGGATAATGGAAGGGCTTCCCTGGTCCCTCTAAGGAAAGGAATATACATGAGTTAATGGCTGATGCTTGTGATAGACATGACGTGGGAGCTGATGCAGTTTGAAACACTTCCTTTCCTTGTGATGTGTGTGACTTTTTTTTAGTATTTTTTTTAATGCTCTCTATGGGTGGACAGGTATCTGTAAAGTCAGTTCTCTTCTCTCCTGCAGGGTGGATATGCAGCCTACAGATATGCACAGCCTGCTACTGCAACAGCAGCCACGGCCGCTGCAGCCGCTGCAGCAGCTTACAGCGATGGGTATGTAAGGGAGAGGTGTCCATGGGGGCTAGCTTGCTGTGCTCAGGGATTCAAGGAGCATTGATCCATCACAGAACTTCTGCTTCTTTCCCCCATTTCTCTGTCTGACCTGCACTCGCATGTGCACACATGCATGCACCACCCAACACGGAAGACTTGAGTGCACGGTTTGTCTCTGCTCCTGGACAGTATTGCCCTCAGTGTATGTGAGCTGGCACAAATCCTGGCCTCCTCCCTATCCTTGTGATTCTTTGCACAAAGCAGGCAGTGTGGTTACAGCCTCAGAGTCGGAGATCTGGCTTTGGGCAGGCTACTAAATCACTGGGTGCCTTTCTCTCCCCGTCATAAAGTAAAAATTACTCAGCTCATGCAGTGCTCTAGGATGCTTTAGCATGTAGCTCTGAATAGATACAAAGGATTGTCTTGATCAGAGTGCTTGCCTTAAGATTTTTCACTGCCTGTGCAGTGAGGCCATGTTTTAATCCTAGCACATTAAAGGTTATACTCCTCCCATAGTGGAGAATCCCTCACTGCTTTCATTCAGCAGCTGTTACTGTGCCAATAGCACTAGTGCCAGCAGTCCCTCTGGTCCTAACTGCATCATGCAATTACCCAAAGGTAAGGGATGCACTAGCTGACATTTCAAAGGTGCTGACCTCTTTCCTGCAGGTCAGGCTCATGGCCTGTGCCACATTCCTCCTGGCAGGCTGTTCTCTTGCCCATCTCATACAATGCATGGCAGCATGCTCATAGGATCTCTGCAGAGGAGCTGCCTGCGTGCCTGTGTGTGCATGGATGCATACATGTGTGTGCAAGGGCATGTTGCTGCTTCCATTATCTGTGGTCAGACAGCTATTACTCTGCCCCTCCCAAGTGACTTTTTTTTTCTTTTTATATCTTTTCTCCCTCTCTTCAGTTATGGCAGGGTGTACACAGCAGATCCTTACCATGCCCTTGCCCCTGCCGCTAGCTACGGAGTTGGCGCTGTGGTAAGTGGGATTTTCTTTCTTGTGCTGTTTCTCATTTCCAGCATGGGGAACAGCCACTGGGTATCATGCAATGAAACCTCACCCACCCAGAAAAACTTCTTTGTTGAGGGAGGAGGTCCTTAGCAGCAATGCTGTGTTCCCAGTTGTTCCACATTCATGTCTATGTGTACACTTATAAAGCAGCTAGGCTGTAGGAGACCAGTTATTACTCAATCTTGCACATCATCTAGTACCATGAAAAATAAAAAGGAATAGCAAACAGAACTGCCAGGAGCCAGAACACTGTTGGTGAATCAGTAGAACTGTATAGAGGTGATACATAGAGCAAAAATCAGCAATAATTAGAGATTCAGGATACCTTTTTTTGCCATTTTCAGTTCTAGGAAAGCAAGGGAATAAGTTGTTCTTGTGACATCTTGCAAGTGAAGCAAAGCTGCTTCACTTGGTTCCCTCTTGCACTAGTGGAAGGATGTGGTGTCCTGCCTGCCAGCAGTAGTTATGCAAGGGCAGGATGAGGTATGCTGGCATCGGAGGGGAGTGGAGCAGCTTGCTGAAAACACATGCTTGCCCATCTGCTAGCCAGCGCAGTATCTGTGTTGTTGCAAAGGCTGGAATACAAATGTGTTCAGAGAAAAAGACACCTAAAAATAGATATCTGCAGTGTAGCAACTCCATTTCAGCCTCAGCTCATCGTGTGGATTCTCTTTAGGGTCAATGAGGGAAAACCAGGTAGTTCTAGGATACCCAGTTATCATATCTATTTTAGACCTTTACCTTGAGGTGAGGTGAAGAGCATCCTAGAAGTCCTGGTCTCCGCAGTCTCTAAAGGCAGCCTGGACAACTGGCTTGAGATTAGGACTGGTGAGTCCCCACTCTGGTACTGAATTCCCTTCCAGCAAGACTTGCCAAACTTCACCTCCAGCTGGCTGGCCATGAGCATGCCCTCCTGAGCCACATCTTTGGTTTTGCAGGCAGAGTTCTTTCTTGCTTCTTAGAGGTGCTCATGGTGGTGGGTCAGTGCGAGGACAGGTCCTTCCAGAAGCATTTGGGTGCTGTCCTGGATATCTCTTCCCAGTTCTTCTCCTAACAACCTTTTCTTCTCCCATTTCATTTCTACAGGCGAGTTTATACCGAGGTGGCTACAGCCGATTTGCCCCCTACTGAAGTGACGTGAGCCCCCTGCAAGCGGGACAGCCCCCCCCAGTTCATGAGGCCTGGCTATTGCAATATTTACTAGTAGAGGAACTCTATAGCAAGTCGAGGAGGAAAAACAAAAAAAAAACAAAAGAGAAAATACTTTTTTATACCTCACTATGTTCTTCGAATATGTATTTTTTTTCCTTTAAATTTCTGCCTTTAATTCTTTTGTTCCAAAGATTGTGCTTTTTTTTTGTTGTTGTTTGTTTTTGTTTTCATTTTTGGGGTTTTTTTTAACTGTGGTAAAAATAATGCATTTCCGTGTCTGTATGTTGGTGCATAGCTTATCCTACCAATCACGGAAAAGGCGATTAGCGATAAGGAAAGCTGTTAGAAGCTGATATCATGCAATTAATCAGGAACACGCAGACAGAGTTACTTCCCTGGGTCTGGTGCTTGGTGCCTATGAGACAGGAGGACGTGAGGGAGAAGTCTCCACCTGCCGTGTTTCTGGTCTGCAGAAGGAAGCACTCTTTGGCTGTGGCTGGGACCTGAATGCTGGTGGGAAATAGTCATTTACATTTGGAAATGGGGGAAATGCAGAGACTTTCTTTGTTTCTATCACCATCTGACGCTCACAGGTTTGTGACAGTTTCAGCAGTGTCAGAACTTTAGACTTCGCAAGAGAAGAGTCCCTCAACCTGCCCAAAGACTTCAGCTGTTACCTGCTCTATAGGGGACAAGACTTTGAAAGGAGTTTTTGATAAGGATGATCTTTTCCCTACACACAGAACTTTTACTCACTGATTTTTGTCTGCTGCAGGTGGCTGTAATTGTCATAGTTTTCATTCTTCCTTTTGAAGATCTTTCTCTCTTGCTGTCCCTTTCCACCCCTTCATTCCTCGAGGAGTGGCAGATGCAGTGCAGGATCATGCAGAGTACCTCTGTTGTGGACAGCAAGTGATTAAACATGGGGAGGTGAAGCACATGCAACCTTGCAGAGGAAGAAAGCGAGCAGAAGAGTCGAGCGTGGCACATGCTCTGAGGCCCAGCCTGCAGGGGCTCTGCTGCTGTTCATCCTGGGCTGCTTAGGTGCTTCTGCAAGTAATCTATTTCAAATAACCTGAGTGAGGAAAAACCAGTCACACATAAGCTGCTCGAGGTGAAGGACAAGCTTGTGGGTTTGTGTGGGGGAAGAGGATCTTTTATATCTAAATGTGATCCTGAAGTAGTTTTGTATCGCAGAAACAGTTCATGCAAGCTCTGAATTCATAGGAACTTCTTACCACAAGCTATTTCAGGCCATTCCATAGCTGCATTGGAGCCCCTGGGTTTGTTTTGCCCAGCTTCTCACAAAAAGTTGTGCACCTGGTCTGCTGAGTCCATATAGACACTACATATTAGAAGACTTGGAAGGATAGAAACTATTTAGCTGAGGGGTCCACGACTCCCAAGACCATCTCCCTTCTGCTCTCACAGACAGAGAATTCGCTGTGTTTCAAAGACAGCACACTTAGATGACTGTGAGCTGTGATGTGATGTGGAGTTGCTGCTCTCCAGATCTCCCTGTTCAGCTGCTGGCTCCTAGAGTGCTCCCAGTAAACCCAGTGGTCAGAGGCAGGCTCTAATTGCATGCTGGAGAGATGCAGAAGTGTGATTGTACCGGGCTGCCTCGACTCCATGGATTGGTGCTGGGGTGAGCCCCTGCCCTCAGAAGGGCAGCTCAGAATATGGATTTGTTGACAGAGCCTCTCCAGCTCCTGTCGAACACCTGCTTTTCCATCCACCACTGATACAGAATAGGAAAATTCCTGCATTTAACACTAAGCAACATCAGCAAGCAGAGGTCTTTCTCCTGGGGGAGTGTCCTGGTCCAGCCACACACCACCACACGTTTTTTGCTCTTCCCCAGTGATGCATGGAGCCTCTCTGTGCACAGCAGAGTGGAGGCACCTCAAATGGGAAGAATGGGGACACCATTGGTTAAGGTAGAGACCCTGAAGCTATTGATTTTTCTGGAGGAATTGCTAGATAAAGGGGACACCAAACTGCCAGCCTGTTGGCCACCTTTTTTTTTCCTGGTTTTATTGTTGGTTTTTTACTTTTTTTTTCCCCAAGCCAAAGTTTGGTTTGTTGCTGTTATGACAATTTTTTTGTTGTTTGTATATAAATACTTTAGCTTGAAAATAGGGAGGGGGAGAACAGGGTGTTGGGGCTTTCACAAAATCTAGGAAATGAGGGAGACTCGGCATGTTTGGGGGTTTTTTACTGCCTGAGTTGGGGTAGAAGAGGGAGGATTTGTGGTAGAGATAGTCATATTCAAGGGGAGTTATTTCCACTGCAGAGCAGCCAGGGGACTTGTGGAGCTGGGATGCAGCAAAAGCCTCTACTGGACTTGTTCTCCCCACTGTGGGTGGAGGGCCTGAGCGAGGCCATCCCTTCCCTTCCTGCAGGCAGTTCCTCAGGCTGTGAGCCCAGGAGCCTCTGCTAGCCCCCTGGGGCAGCTGCTCCCCCACTGCCCCTCTCCCACATTCAGTTCAGCTGGTTCTGACTGCGGCTCCCCAAAAGCCAGGTTCTCCCACCCCATGTGCCCTCCCCTGCCCTGGCAGTGCCACCTGCAATCCCCCCCTGCCACTTGGCCTCCCTGGGAGTAGGGAGGCCAGCCCCATTTCTGCCTCCTGGCAGAGTCTATGCATGGCAGCTTCAGCCCGCCCAAGGATATGAGGAATGTGAGGGGTTTAGTGCAGAAGCACCCAACCTTTGGGGGGCCCTGCTCCCTCGATCTCCGAGTAATACCTGTTCTAAGACCTTCCAGCCTGATTCCTCCTGTATCCCAGCCTGGCCTGCTCTGGTGCATTAAGCAGCTGGTGTCTCTGTGGCTCCGTAGTTAATGCTGCAAGATCCCCTGAGGGGGCTTGCTGATGGCCTGGCTCTCTGCTCCCAGCACTGAGCTGCAGAGGGGACACCGGGACACTTGCATGGCTGGGGGCCAGAGGTAGCTCACTGGTTCCAGGTGTCCAAAGCACCAGACCTCCCAAAAACTTGCATGGCAAGGTTTCTTGAGTGAGTGTTGTGTGTGACAGGAGAGCTCTTCAGCCTTTCTTCTGTGCTGGTGAACAACAGCTCCAGTTTCACTCTGATGTGTTGTGAACTGGCTAGAGATGCTTTCAGAGTAGCCAAGGTGTGGCTATATCCATCTTCTGAAGAAGTGAGGACAAAGCCTATATCTCCCTATGCAAAATTAATTACGTTTAATAAATTGAACTGGGCCCTGGCTGATTAGAATGATGGCAGCTAGTGCTTGTCCGTGAGATGGGTCGGCAGTCACAGGTCCCTTGCAAAGCAGGGTTTGGCTTTCTGAGGGAAACTGCACAGGCAGCCTGGCAAATAGCTTGCTGTTTGTCACCTTCTAGTCTGGTGGCATCTGGGATTCCTCTTGATGCAGAGAAAAAAATGTATCTTTAACTGTAGCTGCTTGTGCTGTCTTGCAATAGGTCCAGCCAGCACACGATGATATACAGATGAAGTTTTGCTTTGAAGAGTTGGTTTATTTAATGTGCTGGTCTGTATTTCCTTGCAGTTACAGTTGTGCTGGTATAAAGTAACTACTACTGGTATAGCATATTCTCTGCTGAGAATAATTTACATTGATGCCCAGCACGTTAGCAAACTGTTCTCCTGTCCCCACGTGTGGGAGGCTGCACTGTTGTAGGTGAGTTAGCTTTTCTAAGAAAAGCCATGACAGGACCTGGAGGCAATGGGGAGCTCGGTATGAGCCTACTGTAGCCAGCTTTTCCCAGGTTAAGCAGTTAGGTGGGTCCTGTGTCATGAGTTCAGATAGACAAAGCCATGTTTAAAGATAGCTATGACTTGGCTGTTCCAGTGCCTGAGAGGGAGCAGATTTGCCCAGTGAGGAGCACTGGCTCTGGAGTCTGAGACCTGTGTTTCAGACAGGGCTCTGTCAGTGACCCCTCAAGGGTCCCTGTGGGGCAGTCATGTTGCTACTTTAGACTTTGCTTCCCTGTCCCTAAAGTGAAGTTGAAGTTTATCCCTGTTCTTACCTGTTTTGAGATCCGTGGATGTGAAGTGTACAGTGAGAGCTGAGGAGGGATTTCTGAGTAGCTGGCTTGAGTGCTGGTTGTGGAACGGTTAATGAAGCCATTTCCCTGTCTGAAGAGAGACACTGGCTGCTGGGCTTTCAATTCCAGCACCCAGAGCTCTATCAGTGGGGAATACAAAGCAGAGCCTCCCAGTTCTACCCATGTTTTTCCCCAGCCCATCCCTATCTGTATCTTCCCATCCTAGCCACAAAGATGGAGGCAAGTGGAAAACAGGTTTGGGGAGCACTTAGGAATTTAATAAAGGGAAACCCAAACAACAGCTCTGGGGAGTGCTTTTGCTGAATCTAGCTCCAAAGGGAAAGCACACAGGCAGCCTGGCAGAGGACCTGCTGCCTGTGACCCTCCAGCCTGGCAGGGTGGGGGGAATGCTGTCCTTGGTGTAGAGGGGTGATTTTTAAAGTGTTTTACCTGTTTGCACTGTTTTAAAATAGGAGGGTGGGGGGGAGAACCAACCTAGTGAACAAGATGAACATCCAATGTAAACTTCTTTGTGTTTTTATTTTTGACATGCTCTTGGATAATGTCAAACATTTTGTAGTATACACCAGTGAGACTTGATTCTTTGTTGCATAAAACACTATTTTTGGTGATGTTAATGTCTGAAAAGCCTGTTCCCTGCATCCCCACCTTACTGATTGCCCTCTCCACCCTCCAACCCCAGTAAACTTCTACAATGAAAACTCCAGTCAACAAGGCAAGCAGGAGTCTGATAGCCAGAGTGTGAAATGGGGCCCTTTGCAAGTAGGCTGTGGGGTTTGTGCCTGGTCTGCTTTGCTCCAGCCAGGAGTTGTCAGGAGAGCCCCCATCCCTCTGCAGTGCCTGCATCAGTGGCAGCCTGAGCAGGACTCAGCATGGCCAAGTCCTGTCTCTGTTGCCACTGCTGACCCTGGAAGACAGCTTCTTGCTGGGGCTGCCAGTTCTGCCCGTGGTGTCCTGTTGGGGCCATGGGCTACAGCTGGCCCAGGCTTGTGCAGGTGACCAGCTTCCCATGCTGCCTCTCAACTTGTGATAGAGCAGGAATGCATCAGCCAAAAACCTTGCCTGATTTCACCAGGAGATTGCTGGTGTCTAAAGCCGTCCATCAAGATATTCATTTGGCTGG